TAACCCATAGTAGTTGGAGGAGATTGTCTCATGCCTTTCCCAATGGGATTAGAGCAAAAATGAACGTAACAGATTAAGCCAGAATTTGAACTCAAAACTCTGCCGATTCGATTTTTCTCGCCGATAACAGCTTCCCTACCCACACACCCAACCTGTACTATGAATAATTGCTGCTCTCCCTACCGTGGAGCAATGGTTAGCAGACTAAACTCAAAGGCTTTTATTACTGATGGCAGTTCGGTTTTCATTTAGTGAGCCATAATAGAGACTGTTGCGTACTAACATTCTTTTTTTTTTTTTAAATTAACACGTTCATGACGAGTTATCTCGTATTTGGACTTCTCTGATAGATTTTCATCTGTGGACACCATCAGCGAGTTTATTCTATCAGGCTGTTATAAAATTGCCGTTTGAAGTTAGATTTCGTAATTGACCTCTGACAGGTCAACGGGTTAAATCAATAAAAATAATTACCGTATATTTCCGCGTATAAGACTACATTTAAATACCAAAAATCACGCTTAAAATTGGGCGTAGCTTTATACAACAATTCTAAAAAAGAAACCTTAAATTCTGAGTGATGTTTGTCGATAGGCTAAACTCGGCCTCGGTGTGACACTCAATAACGTACAAGATTCCCATTATCAAATAAACTAATACAGTGTAACCCGGATATAATAGAGTTGTCGGAACCGGAGAAGAAGTCTCTTATATCCGGGTTTCTCTTATATCCAGGTTTGGTCTATTTTATATACATTAACACAGGCTCTAATTTGGGACCAGAGAAAATCTCTCTTATATCCGGGTTTCTCTTATATCCGGGTCTCTTATATCCGGGTTACACTGTAATAAAAGTAATAAAACCATTTTACTTTACATATTACAGGCATAACTTCATAATAAATTGTCTATTCGAAGAATAGTTCCATATCAATGAAATCAACTTGTATCCATGCAAGCTCAGCTGAGAAAATGTAAACATCGAGTTTGCGTTCACAGTAACCTTTATCTTTAAATAACTTTCAATTTAAACCTCGCTTCGTTTTCCTAGTGGCTCCATGAATGATATAGGTATAAGTAAATAAGAAATTGCAATTGGCTTAGGCAGAAATTAGGAAGAAACTGAATAGAAAAAAATGTTGGAAGTCGAATGAACTATTATCGTACAATTATTAGCGATATTGTCGATGAAGTATAAGTAAATGGCCATTCGTACACCAGGCTGTTTGTAAGTGTTTAGATATAGAAAAAGAAGAGGAATAATAAGAAGAATCAGTATTCGTAAGAGATCGCGTGATGAAACGTAAACAAAACAATGGTTTCCCTTTTAGGAGACGTGTGTTGGAAAAACATGATATAAAATCGGTTTTGTTGTTTCGTTTATTTTGATTTTCTAAGGACACACTGAGTAACAACATTTCCAATAGCATCATCTTTATATAATCAATAAGTAGTCACCTTATACTACAAGTATAGGATAAATTCATTGAAATTTTCTATATTTTTTGACCTCGTCTTATCGAAGGGTCGATTTATACGCGGAAATATACGGTATTTGGATTTAGTAAAATTAAAAGTGCAACTTAACAACTTCGAAATGTTATCTAGTAATTCATATAATTAATTTTCTTTTCAAATCGTGGTACTAAAATCAAACAAGTACAAAAATTTAAATATCTGGGAAGTGTTCTAACAGAGAACGGAAAGTGCCACACTGAGACCCAAAGACGTATTGGGATGGGCAAAGTTGCATTCAAAAATCTAAGCAGAGTATTAAGAGACAGGAAAATTTCGTTAGAAACGAAAAGAAAGAAAAGAGTATTGAAATGTTGCATGATATATTTCCTCTTGTATAACAGCGGATGCTGGACAATCTCATCAAAGATGAAGAAGAGACTTGAAGCAACAGAAATATAGTTTTACAGAAAGATGCTGAGGATACCATAGACCAAACATATGAGCAACGACGATGTTTTAGAGAAAATGGAAGCGTAAAGGAAATTTATACTTAACATCAGCAGAGGCAGTTGGAATTTCTGTGGCACGTAATGAGGAAAGAGGGCTTAGAAAATTTATTGCCCATAAGACAGATTGAAGGAAAGAGGGACAGAGGAAATCAGCGGTAACATACTTGATGAGCTTAATTAAATAGATGGTAGACTAGGGCTTGGGAGAAATAACAACAACAAAAAAAAAAAATGATTAAAAGCTATAAAGTTCAAGAAGATGTGAAGGGCCATGATCTCTACGTCCTGAAGGGACACAGCAGATAAAAGAAGAGGAAAGCATAAAGCCAGTATGCGTGGAGAAAGTGTCTGCTCTTACAAGAAAAAAACATTCAAAATATTAATTTTTACCCCCTGAACCGACGACAGACGCCGATAGGAGGGACGCAACTATCTGTTTCCAGCAGGCAAAACGTTTGTAGCCATTTATTCGTTTCCCGACACAAGACGATAAATTGATTGTTTTTTTTTTTACGGCTTATCGAACTTTTGCAGGTTATTTAAAGCCAGAAAAATGTTTTTAGATTGTAAGAATGTTTTAATACTGCTATTAAGCCCATTGTTAACTTTTTCTTGCATTTGTACAAATATTTTCTTTTCTGGAAATAAAAATAATACCTGCATTAATAATAAAAAAAAAAAAAAAAAAGCCAACATTCAATAATATCAATGATGAACAGAGTCACAACGTGATGACCGTTTTTTTTATTGGGGTGGGGTTGAAAAACCTTGCCATCACCATACATACACACACACACACACACACACACACACACACACACACACACACATATATATATATATATATATATATATATATATATATATATATATATATCAACATATACAGTTAAAAGCATCTTTGATAATTGATAACAGAATAGCCGGGAAAGCGCTAGGATATATAAAAATTTGAACTGTTTTTTAACACTTTATGTCCAGAAAAGAAAATATTGAAGAAAACAAGAAAAATGAAATGAAAAGCTTAATCGCTGTACCTTGTCAGTCGTCTGTAACAATAATAATAATAATAATAAGAAGAAGAAGAAGAAATATATATATATATATATATATATATATATATATATATATATATATATATATATATATATATATATATAGTATTATATTTATTTATATTATATTTATGAGGATAATACATTCAATTCCTGTCGGAGAGCGTATATTTCCTACGAACCAGGTAAATGTAATTAATACTGTTTAATTAAAAAACAGAGCATTTACTTAAATAAATTATATCTATAAAAATAACGTATAAACAGAAAATATATAAAAAATTATATATATATATATTCTTACTCGAATCTATCTGACATAATTATAAGTCTACCAGTCGTCCAGTTTGGAATATTGCTGCCACATATGGTCTGGACCACCTGATATATTTAGAGATACTTAATAAAATTCAGAAAAGTATCTGCAATTTTACTGGTCCTGACCTAACATCTCGATTTTCCTTCCCACCGCAGTAACTGAGCCTTTTCTATAAATATTTTCATGGTAATTGTTCTATTGTACGTTCTTATATGGAAACTAGACTTCATGAATTTAAGCGCAGTACTAGATTGGCGGTAAGGTCTCATCATTATACAATTGAAACAGTTCTATGCTTATAGTTTCTTTTCCGTATTTTTCACTTTTGGAACTCTCTTCCGGCGTCTTGCTTTCCAGTCAAGTTCGATTTTCAAAAATAAAAAAAAAATTAAATGCAATATAAATCATTATCATCTGTCTTCATAACTCCTGTTTTATTGTTCTTGCTCCTTAATAATGTTCTTTTGTTTTCTTATATTCTTTCACACTCAGTAAAGCCTCAGTGATATATATATATATATATATATATATATATATATATATGTATATATATATAGGTAAAAATGAGAACAAATGAGTATAATTCCATTGTACTTAACATTTATTTTTAAAAAAGGGCTCAATACAGACTAGAGCTAGATATTTTTTATTTTAGGATATTAAAGCATCGGGCGGGGAGACACATTTATTGCGTTAAAACATAATTGCTATTATGTAGCGATTTTTAACATGTTTTAATATCCTAAAAAAATTATATATATATATATATATATATATATATATATATTTAGTTTATGAAAAACTAGGTAATCCGTATGGGTAAACCCAAGGAGGATAAAATCCAGAGAGCTCAATGTAAATGCAGAGCAAATAATTTATATATATATAAGTGAACGTTGAAGTCAACACTCGGAGGCGACAGGATGTTTCATGCTAGACGCAAAAAGTTGCCTGACGAATGCGTCTACCATGAAACAGTCTGTCGCCTCTGACTGTTGTCTTCAATGTTCATTATATATATATATATATATATATATATATATATATATATATATATATATATATATATATATATTTACATGTGTTCTATCTCTAATATTAAGCACTTTATCCCGTAAATTTAGCACACCTTAAAATTTATATTTCTTGACACACACACACACACACACACACACACACATATATATATATATATATATATATATATATATATATATATATATATATATATGTGTGTGTGTGTGTGTGTATATAAATATAAATAAATATATATATGTATAATTATTTATATATTATATATGGTACTTATTAGAATATTTAGTTGGATAGATCACATCTATCCATACCATATATATATATATATATATATATATATATATATATATATATATATTGCAGATTTAAGTTGACTGGAAAGCACGGTACCGCACAAAACAATGAAAATAGTATTATTCCTTCATCAACTCCAGGACTGGGAGACACAAGCCTCTAGGTTGTAGATGACAAGTAGGAAAAATGTGAACGTTACCGTAGTTAATTGACAGCAATGATTAAAAAAATGCTAGCCGTTTCTAATTCCATTGGTATGTGTGTCATTCAAAAGGTTGTGGTCGGCTTTCACCAGCGAAGGCGGACGCAAAATAAACACACTTTCGATCAATGTTTCTTAGCTTCCCTACCTCCATATTACTTTCCCTCCCCTCCAACATATACACAGATAATAATTCTTCTTTCCTTTACCCACGTATTGGTATTTTCAGAGAAAACTCCGCCCTTCACTACGCCCATATTTTTCCCGCCATCATCATCGTGTGCCTGCGCCATCCGCCTCGTGTAATAAACGTATTTCTTGCCGCTGGCTATTGGCTCTTTTCCAAGCATATGATTTAAATTAGTTGATATTCTAGGTGCTCTGTCGATCGGTTCGCCGCATGGAGGCGCTGTCACACGCTACACTTTAACAGCTCCGCGTTATTGATTAATCATTAAATTTGCACTATAACCGAAAGATCTTTTTTAGGGTAATTTTATCAATTTTTCCTTTAATTTTCTATATATTTTTTCTATCTGTATATGATTGTACATGTTCGGTCTTTTATCACTATAGATCTAAAACTGCGCATAATGCTAATAACCATATATTTTCAGCCTCAGTTTCATTAGAGTTTGGTAAACAAAGAGAGCAAATTGTCTGAAATGTCTCACTTGGAAATCAATTGAAATTTCTCTCGTGCTTCTATGATTAACGAAAGAAAGAGAATAGGTGATTTCAAAATAATTATAGAAACTAATGGCTTTTTCAGCAGCAAAATAAATATTATCAAAATATTTGTGATTACTGCTTTTGACCAATCATCTGACCAATATGAAAATATATGTGTCTGTCTGTGCGTGTGTGCATATTTGGCGTTTATAAAAGAAGAGTCCTCAATATAGGCGAAACAGAAAAAGATACAGAGTGAGCACAAGGATGAACATTTGGTATAAAAATTCCATTGTAGTGTGAAACTGACAGCCACCATGCAGTGTTGAATCCTAGGCTCACACAATCCCACTCACTATCTCTCTGTATATATATATATATATATATGTGTGTGTGTGTGTGTGGTTGTGTGTGTGTGTGTGGTTGTGTGTGTGTGTGTGTGTGGTTGTGTGTGTGTGTGTGTGTGTGTGTGTACACAACATTTGCAGTTTCTAAGGGAAGATTCCTCAATATTAGCAATGCAGACAGAGTGAGCATATGGATGAAGCAAACACTTAGTTTGAAGATAGCACTGAAGCATAAAATTGACAGCCACCATGCAGTCTTGATCCCTAGGGTTCACAGTCAATCTCTTTCTACCACATCACCCCTCTTTCTCTCCCACTCTCTCCCCCTCTCTCTTTTTATATGTATATATATATACATACATATATATATATATATATATATATATATATATATATATATATATATATATATATATATATATATATATATATATACATATATATATATATATATATATATGTATATATATGTGGAGTTATATTTTTCGATTTTTTTTTTGAATTTGTAGGTCTGATGATTTGGATCTTGATTATCATTCCAGTGTAATAAATTATAACCATGGAATATTAGTGTCTGAGCCTTTTATATTCTTTTTATATTTTGTATTCTTACTCTGTCCAGGACATTGAGTTCTACCTGGATTCTATCCTCTTAGGAATATATATATATATATATATATATATATATATATATATATATATGTATGATGTATATATCGACCACTAATATTATCAATATATATATATCCTCCCCTCTCTCTCTCTCTCATATATATATATATATATATATATATATAGATATATATATATAGATATATATATATACATATATATATACATACATATATATATATATATATATATATATATATATATATATATATATAGAGAGAGAGAGAGAGAGAGAGAGAGAGAGAGATAGCAGGGAGAGTGAGGGATACAGATTTTCTGTATTCCTGGGGATCAAGACGCATGGTGGCTAGCAATTTTATGCTTCTCTGCTATCTTCAGACTATGTGTTTGTTTCATCCTATGCTTACTCTGATATATATATATATATATATATATATATATATATATATATATATATGTGTGTGTGTGTGTGTGTTATGATTTTGAGGAAGAACAAATTCTTTCTATGTACAGAGAGAGAGAGAGAAAGAGGGAGAGAGAAAATTCAATGAATTTTTTTTAAAAATATCTTTTCTTGCTTACGCGTATTCGGTGAGTGTATTGTTCAAACGTTTGAACATTTTCTTTTCTCTTTACTCCCATTCTCCGTCGATAGTTCTCTCAGCCTACTCCTTGAGAACTTTTCTGCGGAACTATTCTAGTTTTTTGTTTGTTTGTTCATCCATTACAGGGTTCAAGAGCCACTAAAGGTAGTGTGTTCCTGAAGAAGTTTTTTGTATTAGAGGAAAGAGTAGGAGGTAAAAACGTATAGAAGATGGAGGCAAAAAGTATTAGGTGCTAAAAAGCAGTAAGTGTAGGAGGTAAAAATGTGCAGTTTATATGACTCGTTCGGCGGAGGAGGGGCGTATTCAACAAAACAAAAATTGAAAATTGCTTTTTTCACTGCAAATTATTCATTATATCATATCCAAGTATTTTACAAAAAAATCGAGCCCATTACACAATAATGATTTTCCAAGCATAGCTTAGATATGGCACAAGGCCGAAAGTAGGTGGATATTCATGAAGAATCGAACTCACTACTCAATCGTAACAGTTCTAGCGTGACAAGTTTGCTAATCATTACACCACTTCGAGGTGCCCTAAAGCTCCTTACACAATATTTCAAGCTCAATTTAGTTTTATTGTTCGTAACCATGCAATAATATAAACCTTAGATTTATCTACGGAATATCATTACATTATTGTTATATAATTAGAGTGAAATCATTAAGGTTTATTTTGTCAAAGGCATTTTATTTTTGGTCATATATTAATTTAAAATAATCCTTTTCACAGGCTTTATTTTTGAAATGGAATACGATCATTCTAAATTTTAGAATTTCGCTATTGCCTATTAAAATGACCGGAAGAAAGCGATCTAAAAACAATGGAAAAGAGAGGTAACAAAGCGTAAACGAAATAGTTTCAGCTTATTGAACTTAGGAAACTTAGCATTGCAGTCAAAGTCTACTAAAATGGTGCCAATAAAAATGAAAATTGCCTAGCAACAAATCGAATATAGTATCAAGATTTATATTATTTTCATTTATTTGTTATGTAACTAAATACATAATTGTCAACAGTGTTTCCGTAAAAATTTATATTTCCTGTAAGAAATACTTAATAAATATTGTTATTGTTTTACTTAGGTGTAAGGTAGTCCTATATTTACAATTCCTTACGGCTAACCACGAAAAGCAATGCTGATCAAAACTGCCTAAAAATTTTAAGCGCGTATTGCCGCAAAATTATCAAATGTTGAATACGCCCCACATCCTCCGAATGTGTCATATGCAGGAAAGATAATTCTTAACCCTAGACGGGAAGAGAATGCAGTGGTCAAGAATCGTCATTTCGTAAGTCTGTTGCAAAACAAAAAAAAAAAAATCAAGACTATGAAAGACGTTGTCGAAATGAAACTTCCTCCTTACAAATGGAAAATAAAAGGAATGGAAATGATTTGACATTTTATACATGGCACGGCGAGTCTTAGCTTCAATGGTTTGAACTAGCAGAACGGAGGAATGTAGAAGATTTTCCAGGGAAATAGCAATAAATTAGAGCTGCTTGGAACCACCACTTCTATTCAAATAGCTTTTTTCCTCCCACTTCTGGCCTATGGAACTCCCTGCCACCAATAATCTTCAAAAATCAAAATGCAATGTCAATCGCCATCATTGCCTTCTTGGAAGCTGTTCCTTTATTGTCCATTCCTCACTCCTTCATTCTCTTTCAATCCCCTTAAGCACCTGCTTAGAGGTAAAACTATTAAAACAAGAATATATTATATTTATGGTCCAAAGTGCTCAATATCAGGAATATTTTGTAAATATAAGAGTGGACACTGAGGTCAGTTTGTTTCACGGTTAAAGCAGTCATAAGGCCATGTTCTGAAGATTGCATGCAAGAAGCAGGTAACAGACTCTCGTCACTCGGTGTTGACGTCAGTGTCTACTCTTATATATATATATATATATATATATATATATATATATGTATGTATGTATGTGTGTATGTATATATATATATATATATATATATATATATATATATATAAATAGACACTGACGTCAACTAAATAAATAATTATATATATATATAATTATTTATTTAAAATATGATTCAACACGCAACATAAGAGGTCTCATGTTTCAAAACAAGAGTCTAAAATTTCAATATAATTATTTGAATTAAATTGAATTAAAAGTAAGCTCTGTTCCATCTTCAAAAGCGAAATTTTTTGGGAATAACTTATTTCTGAAATTTACGTGTTTTAATAGCATATTCATAACTGAAATCAAAATTTCCATAGTTACAGCCAGAGCGATTGTTTAAATAAGGAGTGTGTTGGGTGTTAATAATATGTATCAGTATAGAGTTACTTTCATAGATGTCAAGTCAGGGTAAGGTCGGGGTGTCTAAATTTAAAACGGAAGATGTATATATATATATATATATATATATATATATATATATATATATATATATATATATATACATATATATATATACACACACACACTCACACTCATATATATATATATATATATATATATATATATATATATATATATATATATACTGAAGTGTATGATTGCTGTATATGGAATAAATTCCAATCACCAACAATTACTATTCTTAAAAGAGTGCTCCAATACAGAGTAGAGCGAATATAATTATTTATTTAAAAATTATAACATAAATATGTTATAAAATCACTACAAAAATAGCCATTTTGTTTCAACACCTCTGGTGTCTTATCAAGTGAATGTAGATTGTAGAATGGTGTTGAAACAAAATGGCTATTTTTGTAGTGATTCTATAACATATTTATGTTATAATTTTTAAATAAATAATTATATATATATATATATGTGTGTGTGTGTGTGTGTGTGTGTGTGTGTGTGTGTGTGTGTGTGTATAAAAAGTGAAGGGCCGAGGTATATATATAGAGAGAAAGCTAAATGTCACGTTGTGGCCAGTTTCAAGTTTTAACTAACCGGAAGAGGTTTTAACAAAAATAAGTTATTCGTTTAAACCTTTCTTTTTTTTTTTTTTTTTTTTAATAACTACATGCAGAAAATGATAACCATGAACTGAAGAAAGTAAAGAAATTATATCCAATAAATAACAGGATTAACAGAATCGACGTCTTTATCCTTTCTTCTATCCCAAGCCACATTTCTTTTTCATTCTCATCACATTAAATATGATTTTTTCGGATAAAAAAAAAGAAAGAGCGAAAAGAAAACTAAGACATGCCCCCCGACCCCGCCTAAAAAAAAAAAACCCTCGGAAAACAAAGTGTGAACAAACAAAAATTGATTTTTTTTTTCATTTTCCTTTAGTGACGGCCATCGTTTAAAAGATTCAGAGAAACAGGATCAGTTAGACAAAAAAAAAACAATCAACATTTTCGAATGAAAAGCATTTCTGGAATATGAAGAGAAAAGGTAGGTTAAATTATAGGAGTTTGTTGGTGAAAGAAAGGAAAGGACGCTAGAAAAACCCAAGGAAAAAAAAAAGTATATATATATATATATATATATATATATATATATATATATATATATGTGTGTGTGTGTGTGTGTGGTATATATATATATAATATATATATATATATATATATATATATATATATATATAGTGCGCGATGGGTAAATTGTCGCTATTTTATATTTTAATTTCCTACATGCATCGCATTTTTGATTTTGTTGACTGCACAGCATAATAGGGTCAGCTGGGCACCGTCTGTGAGAAAATGAGCACTATGACTCGCTTCACTCCGAAAGAAATTTGGAAATGACATTCTGTACTGCTTGGCATTCGCACTGGAAGCTCCAATACGAACATTTCAGGGTGTTTAGATGTCAATCTGAGGACAGAGCAGAGGATTGTGAAAGAGTTGGATGAGTCTAATGGTGATTACGAAGGTACGGTCGATCGAAAACTCACTCTGATCGTCCTGATAAGAAAAAAAAAAACTCCTGAATTTCTTGGTAATATCCAAGTCATCATTGAAAATGATCCCGCCAAGTCAGTCAGGTCTGTATCAGGAAAGTAGTGCTGCCCTGGGTCAATAGGATGGCTGCTGGAAGACACTATGTTTAGCAACAGGATTCTGCACCATAACACACAAGCAGGAGAACACAGTCATGGCTGTCATGCAATTTCTGCGACCCTACCACCCTTACATCTGGTGACCTATCTCCACAGACTGAAACCCCATTGATTATGTGTAAGGCGCAGTTCAGCGAGAGATCAACAAAACACCTTATGGCACCAAAGATGAACTGAAAGCAAGGATTATGTCTACATTCACCAAACTTAAACAAGGTGATCGCCCAGAAGAGTTTCACTAGTTTCCAAAGTCGTCTGGAGGCTGTGATTGAAGTCAATGGCGATTTTATTGAATAAAGTTATTCTTAAGTATTTCAAATATTATTTGTATAATTTTGGTAAATATATCTGTTAAAATGAGATGTCTGTGTTATTTTAATTTTTGCGTAATTTAGACAATAATTTATCCATCGCACCTTATCTATCTATCTATCTATCTATCTATCTATCTATCTATCTATCTATCTATCTATCCTTTATCTCTGTGTATATCAATATATATATATATATATATATATATATATATATATATATATATATATTAATGAAAAACGGACCACTTTTAAGGCTCCATTATAATAACATTTCACCAGAGCCCTCTTAAAGGACGCTGGATCATCAGATAGCACTTCCAAAAGATGAAAATGAAATAAAAATTGATGTGAAGTTTTTGTAATATAACAGAGAGTGTAATAAGGAGTGGTTAGAGAGATATGGTAGAGTTTAGGGAGTTTTTCATAATTTAAATATATTTACCAAGTTTTTCATAACTTACATATATATATATAATTGTGTATTTGGAGAGCAATCTCTCTTTTATACTAGTTTCATTAAAAACTTTTGTTGGTTTCTGATAATTTATTTTCTGGACATAAATTCGAAATTGTCCAAATACATAAAGTTTGTCCGAGCGTTTTCAGCTCTACTTTTAGCCATTATCAACGACAGTTTTATTTTTACTTTTAACTGAATGTGTGAATTGTTTTATGAATGTATCTAGAGTTATAACAATGCTTTATACTCAGAAAAGAAGAAAATTGTAAGAACAGAAAACTTAAATAAAAAAACATAAACGTAACCACAGTTTTTAGTGAAACACACGCACATGCGCGCACATGCGCGCACGCACACGCACACACACACACACACACACATATATATATATTGTCTGACGATCGCAAAAGCGTGAAACCCAGGGTCACAAATTCACATCAATCCAACCAAATATGTTAGCTCTATCTCTGATATTGTGCGCTTTCTAATAAGTACCGAGCATATAATATATCAATAATATATATATATATATATATATATAATATATATATATATATATATATATATATATATATATATATATATATACACTTTTCACACACGCACACACACATATATATTTATATTTTTATACACACACACACACACACACATATTTAACTATGTGGCACATTAATATATCTAACATTTGTTTGTGCATTGAATATTGCAACTACATCTGGAAGTGTCAAAAGAGTTTGTCTGACGATCATAAAAAGCGTGAAACCCAGGGTCACAAAAAATCACATCAATCGAACCAAATATGTTAGCTCTATCTCTTATATTGAGCGCTTTCTAATAAGTACCGCGCACATAATATATAAATATATATATATATATATATATATATATATATATATATATATATATATATATATATATATATATATATATATATATATACACTTTTCACACATACACACACATATATATATATATATATATATATATATATATATATATATATATATTTAAATACGTTGCACATTAATATATCTAACATTTGTCTGTGCATTGAATATTGCAACTACATCTGGAAGTGTCAAAAGAGTTTGTCTGACGATCGCAAAAGCGTGAAACCCAGGTCACAAAATCACATCAATCGAACCAAATATGTTAGCTCTATCTCTTATATTGAGCGCTTTCTAATAAGTACCGCGCACATAATATATAAATAATATATATATATAGTATATATATATATATATATATATATATATATATATATATATATATATATATATATATATATATATACACTTTTCACACACACACACACATATATATATATATATATATTTAAATACGTTGCACATTAATATATCTAACATTTGTCTGTGCATTGAATATTGCAACTATATCTGGTATTGTCCATCTGTTATATATTTCGAGATACTCGGCAATATACAACGAAAGGTTTATATAATGATATCCGTTTATAACTGACATCTCTGCATCAAATAAACTTTCTCACTTCTGTGACGTGTCTTCTCTTTGTCTTTTCTATAAATTATGACAATTGTTCTAATAAGCTTTCATCCTTGGTATCGCGACTGCTTGAATTTAAGTGAACTATTAGATTCGTAAAATGGCGTCCCAGGTTTACTGTTGAAATAGCTAGATATAATCATAAGTTCTATTCCAACAGTTATTTTTCTCACACTTTTAGCCTATAGAGCTTTCTCATGGTTTCTTGTTTCTGTGTTACATACTTTTTTCAAAAGGTATAAATACGACGTCAATCGTCTTTTTCGTTTTCCGGAAACCAATTCTTTTATTATTCTTTTTCCCCAAACAAAAAATTAAAAGCAAAGTAAATCAAGATCTTTCTCTTCCTGAAACCTGTTCGTTTATTATCCTTTCTAATGCAAATAATTAAATGTATCGTTAATCGATATCTTCCTGAACCCTGTTCTTTTATTGTGCTTTCTCTTTACGAAAGACTTCTAATTCTCTTTCGATCACAGTAACTCCTTTCGTCTTCGTTATCACCTTGCTTGGGGTGAAATGATTATATATATATATATATATATATATATATATATATATATATATATATATAAAAGGCAGGATGTGTGCGTGTGTAACGAATGCACGGCAGCAATTTTCGATGGATTTGCAGCAAAATTTACATGCACATGCTCCAAGTTAGCGGGAAGGCCAAGACCGACTTTGCATTTCCCAACTCCCGTCGATAGTGGAAATAATCGATTTTTCATGCTTCTACGGCAGTTTTCATGTAGTTTACGACCATTTTCTACTGGCCAGAGTGAGAGTCCTATAGCTGACTGCCACGAATAGGCAGGAAGATTCTATTGGCCAGCGTGAAAGCCAACAGCTGACTGACAAGAATGTTAACTAGCATGCTAGCATGAAAAGAAAATCGATAGCTGCATTCGTCACAAGTGGGAAAAATTTAAATCTGCATGGCACTTTATTCCAATTGGCTCATTCGCTTGCTTAAACTCAACGTTGATACTGATTCCGCAGAACTGGGTTGGATGTGAAAAAGTAATTGTTGTTAACATTCTTTTTTTCATTCGGTTTTCCCAGTCACGAGTCCTTTTTTAAAGCTGATCGTTTAATGTTTAGTATAGAGCTTAGAAAAGAATTCGCAGTGTGAGATAGGCAGGAAGTAAGGCATGCAGCAACATCAGCACGGAAAAGCGCACTCCTTTAAAGGCAAGGAAGGGCAAAAAAAGTCAAGTGATAGCGATTGCTGTATGAGTCGTACGATTTTTAATTAAGCACGGGCAACGCCGAGCCATGCTGCACGTCTATACACATATATATATATATATATATATATATATATATATATATGTGTGTGTGTGTGTGTGTGTGTGTGTGTGTGTGTACGTGTTTATATTACACATTCCTGCAAGCAGTGGAGGTAAGTTTGCGTGTGCAAATTTTATTAAGATTTTCTCATTTTCATTACCGAGTTATGTCTAATTACAATCAACTTGAATTCCTAATGTCGACATTCGGATGTAAAAACGGGTCAATGATTTAAAAGATACAGTTGCTGGAAGCTAATTTTCGAGTGGGTCTGCCGGTCACAGATCTACGTCAATATTTGAAGAAAGCAACGCACGGAGACGCACATATCCGAACACACACTCGCAAACATAGAAACGTAATATATACCTCGGTAGAAACGTAAACAAGGATGCATAATTATAAGTGCACAAACATGCATACGCAGGTAATAATTGCATGCAAGTTTGGCCTCCCCCATACTCACACATACGAAAGTTGGAAGAATCTGCGCAAGTTGCAAGTCGTATGGAATTTTGACGCTACCCTTTGTGAGCAGTATTCTGTTTGATATATGTCTATCATGCGGATTACTCCGGAAGCGTGCTTGTCACTCTGGCATAGTCTCGAAACGGGTAGAAGACTGCTGGCTGACCTCGTTTTTACGGGGTCTACGGGGAATTTTGCCCGAGCCTACGGGCTCGGATAACCCACAATAAACTTGACCTTGTGCCGCATCTGGCCGGTTGAGGAGGTCAGTGGATATCTAACTCTGTAGTGCCAAAAGAAATACTTTGAAGGCGATGTTTGAAACCAGATATTTGGATGAATGACTTTTCATTGTTAAATTTCCTAATATTTAGGCATCCACATATACATTCAACAGTTATATATATATATATATATATATATATATATACATATATATATATATATAAAAGACATTTTTATGTTTAACGTTCTTTTTATAGACATAATAATAGTTAAACATAAAAATGTCTTTAATAAATAAATTGTCTTTGTCCATTTCTTAATATATATATATATATATATATATATATACAAAGATAAAAAGAGGACAAATGGAGTATAATTCCTCTGTATGTAACATTTAATTTAAAAGAAGGCTCAATACAAAGTAGAGAGAAATATTATTTATTTTAGGATATTAAAACAAAAACATCCTAAAAATCGCCACACAATTACAATCATATTTTAACACCACAAATGTGTCTCTTCGGGTGATGTCAGACCACTGGCGACTGAAAGTTTAATACCCCGAAGAGACACATTTGTGGTGTTGAAACATGATTGTAATCGATTTTTAACATATTTTTGTTTTAATATCCTAAAATAAATGGTATATTAAGACATGTTTCATTGAATAATTTAGACAAGTTTTGTCGACTTATTCTCAATAGTATCATCTTATATTCACAGACAAGCTTCTTAGTATCCTTATTATATGAAAAGAGAAAATTACCATGTTGATAAATATTTATTTATTCCGAGAACTTTCGACATTAGCTCAATGATATCATCAGGGTTTTGTTTTTTCTAAGAAAAAAATTGTTGCGTTCATCATTTTTCTGAGACAAAATTGTTGTGTTCATCCGTAAGTTAAATATTTTACCTGTGAAGTGAAAAACGCTATGGTTATGTACTGCCCGATTAAAATTCCACGATATATATATATATATATATATATATATATATGTGTGTGTGTGTGTGTGTGTGTGTGTGTGTGTGTGTGTGTGTGTGTGTGTGTTCTGTACATACATTAAATCAAATTTTATAGAACAGTTTTTTCTTTGTATTTCATTAAAACTTTTTGTGGGGAAGTTAGTGTTCTGAGCAGGTAAACACTGTTTTGTCTTCGAATATATATATATATATATATATATATATATA